ATCGCAACAAACTCATTATACAATGAACTTAGCTTATTGCTACATAAACTAGATTGTAATATAAGCTAGCTGAACCGAAATAGGAAAAAATGAGGATATTTCGGAATATCATGATCCTTAGCTCATTTCAAAATACTCTTAGCTTATTTCGAGATACTTATATTGTTTCTATACCCTAGAGTATTGATCAATATTCTAGTTCACATATCAATACTCCAGCTTATACTGAATTGTAGTTTATTGACAAATGAGCTAGCTTATTAGGCAACGAACTAGCTCTTTTCGAAATAGATGTAATTCATTGCGGAATGATTTTGTTGCGGTATGGCCCGGAACATATGCTATTGCATCTATGGAATAGGAGATTGATATCACTAACCCAAGACACGCTTCAAAAGTGTGATGAGGACTATTCTTTGCATATCTGAGATGAGAGATCTGTATATTACCATATCGTGGTCGCAACAAAAGCGTAAATTACCACGTTCTAGTGCATGTCTAAGCTCTGACCAACGCTGAAAATATATACAAGCTTGGTTAGTATCACTGGTGGCAAAATTAGGCAGAATAAGTCATTGCACAAGTGAGTGCATTTAGATCAGGAGAAGCCTGTTAAATCCGGGATATGTGTTAAACTTCAAATTCCACCACTGGGCTCAATTTGGGTCAGAAGATAATACAATATAGAGACGAGCTCATAGACCGACACCAACGACTACAATCAAGAGTTACAATAACGCTTATAACAAGCAAATGATATATCTATGTTCTTTTAAACACTCAATAGTTTGTTATTGTTGAGGCTGGAAAGACCGGATGCATTGCTCTTGTGGAGACCCATACCCTGTTGTGTGAAATTCTAAGCATGGTGGCAAGACGAGCGGGGTACAAATCCTGTTTACCAAGTCTCTACTTCGGGTGGCCAATACAAATCGCCGATTCTCTCACCAAACATAATACAGAGACTCAAAAATACAAGAATGATTCAAAATACCCGCGATTTATCTTGCTACTACCGTGACATTACAGATTAGAGCAGACACTGTCCTTAAATGAGACCAGAAGGCCAGTATTTTTAAATTAATTCATATACTGAAGAGTTGGACGAGTGTGTGCGAGTTTGTAACTTTAAGCGAGTTTGTGGCTTTTATGTAGCTACTCCACACTCTGACATATTTCAGAATTACGTTGTGAGTGAAACCCTGTTATAATTTTTCAATCCAAGATCCTGCCTCTCGACCAAGGTAATCATGAACTTCATGGCGTGGAGAGGGCGATCTCTTGAAACTAAATGGGCTCAGTGCAATGTTATTACCCAATATGAATGCATTAATTTATTCCAAAAGCCGGAAGCCGATGGATCTATCAACATAACCCCATTTATATGCATACTTCTTATTAGACAGCCTAAAATTTGAGAGATTATCACTAGGCATCCCGTTATTGGAGTACTAACAACAAAACAATTCAGGTCATTCTGTTGCATGTCTACGAATCTATTTTGAGTAGCTCTATTATTATTGGAAGAGAAGCAGACCAATGCACACTGTTGCACGTCTACAAATCTATTTTGAGTAGCTCTATCATTATTGGAAGAGAAGGCAGACCAAATTACACTATTGTATATCTGATGAAACTAAATAACTTCAAATCGTTGTATATTCAATAGATGTGTATAATTTCAAACTGTTATTCATGTAATAGACCCGTATATAATCTATCTTTTACTATTAAAAAAGAAGATAATTTAATTCATTCTATTGTACCTTTAATAGATCTACCTCTGCATAATACCTCTCTCTTACTATTGGAAGAGAAGGTAATCTAGTTCATTCTGTTGCATATCTGATAATCTGGATCAGACCTCTCTTTTACTAATTGGAGAGCAATTCGATTTATTCTGTTGCATGTCTGATAGGTATGCATAAAGTCTCTCTCTTACTGAAGTGCATATCTGAAGAAACTGCATAGAATATCTCTCTACTATTGGAAGAGAAAGCAATTTAACTCATTCTGTTTGTTGCATATCTGAAAAATCTATTTTAATATTCCCACCAATTGGAGAGTAACTCGACCCAGTTATCTGTTACTGTTGGAAGAGATGGCAAACCAGTCCATTCTGTTGCATATCTGAAAAATCTATTTTAATCTCTCACCAATCGGAGAGTAACTCGACCCAGTTTATTACATATCTAAAAGACATCTATAGAAGCTCTTACTAATTGGAGTTCTACTAATAGCATCCCCCTTTGCCTTCAGCTAACCACATTTACTCGCCAATCACACTCAAAATGCTGGAGTGTGAGTGGGCAAGTCTTAATTAGCCTCAACTTTCAGAGACTGTGCATTAATTTTGTGTTGTGCATTTGCCTTTCAAGGTAGGCTTAGGTAGCCCGTAATACAGGTGCCCCAACACAAGTAGAAATGAAGATGCCTTGAACCTGGTGTATCGGCGAGATACCCAGAACGCGAAAGTTACCACACAATTTTGATCAAAAATTACTCGGCTAGACTTTTCAAGATCAAAGGTCCTGGCCACATTCGTATGAATAACATGAGTTTGACAGAGCCTGAGGCTTTCAATATGAAATTATGGCATGAAATTATGCAGGAAATTGTGCAGGCTTTTTAGAAGTTAGGATAACTAGAAGCTCCTACAGTCTCTTGGGGGCTTGGGGGTGGCAATTTCAAATGTGCGAATTATACCCGGGGACTCCACACAACGAAAATACAGGTGGGAATTGGTATACTGATGCTTATATATCTACCTGTGTGGAAACTTTGGCTCCCGTATCGACTCAGCAATTTGAACTTCTGCCTGACCAGATTAATCTAGTTCTAAAGTCATTTGGCTGATCAAATGCTAAAGTGTAAAATTGGGAGATCACCAGACTGGATACTATTGCTAACAACTTTCACTTGAAATTTGTCAAGGTTCTTGCTTTAGCGACCCAAAGAAAGAGTGAATATAGTTATGCGGATGCTCACTTTGTCGAGGTAAGCCAACATAGAAGTCAATGGATACTTCCATACATTTCGCGCGAACTACTTTTCCTTATTCCTGCCCATTTTTGCTTCATATAAATGCAGGAGCTCAATTTATCACAATAATAGAGTTGCCATCGCCAATTGTACAACAGTACAAGTAGAGATATCCTCATTCTGTAAGTGGAAGAATTATGAGAATTATGGGTGCTGAAAACTTTGGCGATTAGAAAGAGATACGGACTTCCATTTGTCTACCCAATTGTCTAAACACCAGTTGAATTGACTCTTTCCCTCCTCTAATCCTATCCTGTACCGGTACACTTGGTGATTTAGTGGCATATCTAGAAAATTACTCCACATTTTAGTGCGAAATTTTGACATTGGAAATTTATGAAAATTTAATATAAAATTTCTATTTGTTCATTGAACTAACTACTCGTATTGCTTCTCCGTTGTACTAAACAATACTATCGGTATGTCTCTCTGATACGGGATTACGAATTATGCAATTAAACTGGCATCGTGAGTTTACGGGAAAGTTTGCCACAAACCATGGGGAACAGGAGGCAGGACCAAGGTTCTGGGACACCCGAACTACCGGACTACTAAACTTTAATTCCACGGTCATGTATGCAATGAATTCAAGTCGAAGATTAAGAACTAAGGGTGGCTGTCTAAGCCTTAGATTATAAGCATAAAAACCTTCCATTTAATCCCTAATGTGAAGTCTTCTTACCCTGTATCATCACATTGCGTCCCTAATCAATTTTCATCAATTGGCTCCCAGTGTGTCAATTGACAAATCTCTGTCTGCGCTCGCAAAACGATTAGGCAATGTAGATCAGTATCTTCAGATCTGCAATAAGGTTATGACCATGGTTTATTCACACGATTCAAGATTTTTAATTGCCAACTCTTTGTACTAAACATTAACGCTTCCTCTGATCGGAGAGCCAGTATGCACATGACTAACTTTGAGTACAATTCGAGTCAACAGTAATTATATATTCTAGCTGACAGCCAGTATACAAATGGAGTCTTGATTGAAAAAGCATCTCATCCATGATTGAACTGCAAGCCTGAGTGGTAAAGACGATGCAGAATGACTACACGACACTTTGTCTCTTTTCAAGTGTTTTCAAATTACAATTTTGACACAAACAGCATGATGGAAATATAAGCTTTTGGTGGGACCACTAGCCGTCCTATATAGTCTTAGACTGAAGACGGACGAAAATTAAATCAATCAATCAATCAATTTTGGTGGGTCCAGGCTTGATCGAGGAGGTTACCGTAGCTAAGCGAGAACCACACTTAGAGCCCCTTTGCAAGTAGTACTCAAACTCTAAAGATGCCTCCACAATTTCGAGGACTGTTTCGGCAAGATGAACATATTTCTTCAATATATTTGCCGTACTGCATATATTCTATATATTTAATTCATTCGAAATTACTTTGAATGGGAAACCGATCTCAAGAAATGGCTGTATTTATGAAATGTAATTGAGACTACTGAGTAAAGCGAACATAGGTAGAGCTTTATAGATACAAATATAGAGTGTTAAGGATCGTTACTGACACGAGTCCTTGGAATTTCTATCATTTGTGCTCATCGGGCTCTAATTGTTGAAACTACACACGATCGGTACTAGTAATAGAAAAGGTTCGGATACATGACTCGATGTAGTTTCGTGAGCTAATGTGCCCACTAGAGCTTCTCTTAGATAAAGACTTTGTCAAAATTTTAAACAGGAGCGATGAGCTCATCCCTATCCCTGAATTCAACTGCAAGAGCCAAGTACTTCTAGCTCTTCGAAACTAGTAACATTTAGTTATCACTGGAAATATGCACGCGTAAATATCATATGTTGCCATATCATAATATAACTTTGATCAGACAACTGCAACATATAATAACGCGAAAAATCAGCAATTTGACAAGCACACGACATTATTATCAGCAAAATTAAAGAGGTAATAACAATCGCAATCAAGCTCTTGAAAGCAACAGGATGGCCAATCAAAGCATGATCCAGCGCGGCCAAACCAGCAGCGCCGCTAATTACTTTATCAACAACTGCCCTCTATATGACGGGGAGAAAGCCAGGGCCCGTACGGACAATCCTTACGTGGCGAAAGATCTCTGGAAAATCGCCATGTCTGCTTCCAGAGAGCTTGGATGCCGTGAGACGGCCATGAAGCGTGAGAGGATTCGGATCAAGAAACAATGGCGTGATCTCAACAGTAGATTGGATAACAGTGATGCTGTAAGTAACATCGGCACTCCTCCAGCAGTTTGAACTCTACAATGGCAAAATGAAAATGATATAACGCGATCAAAGAAGAACACAAGCTGATAAATTGTTAGATCACAAAAGCCTCGTCCTCGTCCTCGTCCCGTCCCCAGGAGAACATGCTAGTGAAACGTGAAACTTGCAGAGCCATTTATTTTTATGCAAGCGAGCAAACTCCTCGAATTCCTCGTTCCTCCAATTCCAGCCCTCAGGTCTGCGAGTGGCTTTCCCGTAGATTCTTCGGTCGTCATATCTCCGACCACAGTGGTGATATTAGAAAATTGAACCGGGAGCGGAGCTGTAGGATAATCAACGGCCCTGCCGCCATGGCCCAGACCCGAGAGCGTGTGCGCACCTTAAGAGAGCTGATGCATATAGAATTTATTAATCGCGGGATGTTATTGGAACATTCACCGCTACGCTACCACAATATTCTAATAACTGGCATCAATAAGGAGGAACGATACCTCGAGTATTTTCAAGGGGTGCGCGTGCGAGAGATCAAGGCGTTGAGTGGTGATAGAACACAACGGGGAATAAAGATGGCCGGGTACTTGCGAAAACTAAAGGACAATGTGCATGATTTTTGTTTCCAGAAAAAGTTCACACATACTGTGAAATCCAAGAACAAGAAGGCGGATATATCAGCCCAGGCCTGTAGGGCACACATGAATAACATCGGGGTATGGCATAAAACCTTCAATGAACTGGAGGAGAAGGCCAAAAGAGCTGCATTGAACGATCCAAGAGTTGGCCATGGTTCAAATGTCCTTTGTTTGAGTGCGGTGCCTTGGTACATGGAGTATGATTTTGCGAAGGATCGAATTCTGGGTACAGGATTATCGAACTCGATTGCAGCTGGCGATTGGCTTAAGAAAGCGCGCCCTAACTTTGTGTTTGATACCGATGGGGAGAGAAGCTCGTTGAGGATGGTGGTGAATGTTGGTAACAATTTCAGGGAAGAGTACCATAAGGCATCAAATCCATCACCACCTTTCGACCCTTCCAATCTTTGGCGAAGTGGCATTGCTTTATCTGTATCGCCAGTGTCTCAGACTAGTGGAGATCATACCGACAACGAGGCTGCCGTCCAGACCAGCAACAAAGTGGTCTATGCATCGCTTCATTCAATATGGGATGATTCAGATGTTGATGCATCAGATGAATCTGATAAGGATGAGAAATCCAAAAGACGCCGACTCAAATAGAGGCAGGGGATTTCAGGAGATTCTCAACATCAACACTCAATTCTTCACCATGAAGAATGAATTTGTCTTGTTTCCTTCGTCATGATTCTCGTCCGACACTGGATCGAGTCCTAATCGGATGAAGGTTTATTTCCCATCGCATTTGTCAAAGAAACCTTCGACGTCAACCTCTTTTCTGCAAATTTACCCGGCATATCTTTCAATGTCCTTCTTAGCACATCCATCGAGCATCAAAGCGCATTCAGCCAGGATAGATACCCAGCATCATATACCCACTCATCCTTATATTCTCCAGCACATCTCCAAACGCATATTTCAGCATTTCTATCGAGACATCTTCCAAAATATATACCAAGACCTCTTCCAGGATACCTTGCGAGGCATGTTTCCGCACCGTTTTCTATACCATCCAGCATTTTCTCCCGACGCATCTCTAGCACATCATCTGAGAAGAGATACTTTCTTTCCACTACAAAGAAGACGTATACACCTCCCTCTCCTATCAACGAATCGCGCTCGCGCTCGCGCCCGCCTTATTATCTTTATATCTTTTGATTGAAACCCGTTATTTTTAAAATGGCAACGAGTAAACGCACGACCCGATATTACGCGCATATATCAGGAGCATGGTTTTAAGCTTCCACCATCAAAAATGAACCAGTCTGGATTTATAACCAGTTCAGTTCACTCTTTGATTCCATATTGGACATCCATTTCCATCCGCCGTTGTCCGACGCTAATTTGCAGATTCCTTCTTGCTTTTGAGAGAGAGCTCTACTCTGACGACAAAGACTTTGATAACCAAAAGCATTGGGCACTCAGATTTACACCCACGGTTACCCAACACGACCTTCCCAATTGTGGCTAGTTTCCAAATGCTCTTGTGGATAACCACTTACGTCTTCGATACATAATTCTGAGCCCATGGATTTCCACGTAGTTGCGCACGACTTATTTTTCGAATTACGGCTCGCGATAACGAGCTCTTCCCGAAAGGTTCTTTTATTTCCCAAGTATTTGGTACTCAGCAACCTACGACACTCAGGTCACAACCCAGATCTTATCCCAGATTATGACTTCGAGATTCTGATGGGTCGAGTCTTCACATCCGTCGACGATAGATAGCCTGATGGTTTAGATTTGATACGCAACATTGCTTTTCGACAGGACGGACCGGGTCACTGGGTTAAAATCCTAAAGTTTTGAATTCACTCTTATTGATTAGTATATCAATCAGTCTTTGCTTTCAAGATCGTCGTTTGAAGTTTTTTTTACAATATGGATTTTATCATTATAGAAGTTAGAGGTGTGATATTTTCAAAAATGCACATTCAAGCGAAAGGGGTGGTTCAACAATCTTACCATTTGATTTTGTACATCGTTGTACATGTACTGTAGGATTGTAATAAAAATACTTAACATTTAGGTAGCGGGTGTGTGCGTCGTGAGAATATATATATATGAGTGAAGGTAAGACCAGAGAGTGGCATGGTAGGGTATGGTAGATGTCTCTTATGGCGTGGACCTCGGTGTAGGCAGTAGTTAACCCGTTCAACCAGTTGGTTTAGTTGATCAAACCCAAACTACCAGTTGGTCGAGTTGGTCATATCCAAACTGGGAGTTGGAATATACAAACTAAACTACCGGTTTAATAAGTTTAACCAGTTTAGTTTGTGTATTCCAACAGGCAGTTGATTTAATTTGTATAACCTTAACTGCCAGTTCAAAAACGGGTTCGCACTACTGCCTACACTGGGCGTGATAAATTCCTAGCTGAAAACAGCTGCAAATCTTGCTTGCTCCTTTACAGTCAAAGCCAAAGTTGAAAACACAAGATTGGTATCAAAATTGGCCTGACTGGATAGAAAAGAGTATAGCTGACAATGAAGCAGGACTGTCAAAGTAAAACGCCGAGTGAGCGGGCGTGATACCATGAACAAAGGATAATTGGCTGCAAGTCAAATAATTGTAAGCCGAAAATCTTCTTCAATTCTGCTATTATATATGTATCTCTGAAGAGATTGACTACCAATATAGGTAGACGCACTTGGCAAGCAAATTTGAAATCCATTCATGGCACATTCGCTAAATCGTCAAAATTCGTAGTTCTCGTCGGTATCGTACAGTTCCTCCCATATTCGACCTCGCCACTCCGTCGCCACTCCGTCGCCACCCCTCCTCTGGATATCATACACCACCCCTTAATCAAGCCTTGCTTTCTCCATTCTTCTTCGCCTCATCCACGACCTCATCGCCCGGTGCGAACTTCATGCTCACACTATTGACGCAGTGCCTCTCATCCGTCGGCGTTGGGAGGCCTTCCCCCTTAAACACATGTCCCAAATGGCCTCCGCAATTCGAACATACGATTTCGGTTCTCTGCATGCCCAGCGTAGAGTCCGTATGTCTCGTTACTGCGCCAGGGATGTTATCGAAATAGGCGGGCCATCCACATGAAGATTTGAACTTGTGGGAGGCTTTGTATAGAGGGGCGTCGCAGCCAGCACATGCGTAAACGCCAGAGTCGGGCATGTGTTTGTCGTATTTGCCAACATAAGGGGCTTCGGTGCCTTGGTTACGGAGGACTCGGAATTGTTCTTGGAAAATGTTAGATGGGTTCAAATGGGTTGAGATAGGTGGGTTAAAGGGTGAGGTGGGGGTAGCAATACCTTTTGAGAGGATAGCTTGCCATTCGTCCTCCGATTTTTGAACTGGATAAGACATCTTTTGAGAGCTGGATGTACCGAAGAAAGCTGAGAGGAAAGGGATAGTTGGCATGGATTTCAGGACAGTCCCTCGAGTGATGGGTTGAAGGGCTTTGTATTGGACTGCTGGTAGGCGAGAAATGGTATAATTGCTGATGGTATAGAAGGTTCGGACAAGAGTAGGAAATGTTGGGATCCTCATGAAGAAGGTCTATAATGGGATTGAAGTTGTATTGTACTTTATAGTTGATAAAGTATGTGATATGTAAGCGTGATTGTACAACCTGAGGAGGTTCTTAGGAATCATTATTTCCTTTTCCTTTGTACTCCTGAAATTGGCCACCTTATATTGAAATAGCCACCATTACGCATACTAACATTGATACTTTGGAATCAAGGTTATTTTTAATTAATAAGTTTTAATTAGTGCTCTTCACAAAAGTTGATAAGCACAAAAGTACTTAAACCTGAATAAGGTATTTTTTAATAGTAAACCAGGTAAACTAATATGTTACATAGTGATAAACTACAACAGGAATAGCCTAGTCTTTGACTTCCCGAGTTGCGGACAAATTATTAACCATGGATTTGATCTATGTAAGCCATGAAGGCCGTTGTTAGGGATCAAAAATATGGCAGGTGCGACTAGCTTAATATAGCCTCACCTCATATCATAATATCATAATACCTAATATGGACACCCCTCTCACACCGTCATCTGAAGCTGCTTACACGAATTCTGGCCTTCAATCATATACAGAGAAGCAATACAGTTACGTGACCAAAGTCAATCCGGATCAAAGCCATAGTTGGTACAATACCTTTCTATTAACAACCAGGCAGCTAGCCAAATGATTCACACTTATTACAAGCAAAGACCTTACATTAAAGAGTTATACCATGGTGCCCAGCTTGAGAGGACTCAGAGGAGTAGTGACTCGTGAGGAGTAGTGAGGAGGCTAGCCAGTAAGTAGAGTCGAGGAATACCGTAAAGGGTAGGTAGGTATGTCGATTGATACTAGCATATCAAAGAAGGGAAGCGGCTGCCCCAAAACGTATTAAAGTTAATCAACTCGATACTCAATATGACAGCAAATGTCAATTAAGTATATTAGGTGATCTTGGAGATTCTTACGATCGCCCTTGGGGGGGAGGGCCGGGGGGGAGGGATATAGATATAAGACTGATCATCGATAATACAGATTTACACCTTTGGTTTTAATGCTACTACTTACTACCGCTTGACAATCATTCCCCGATATTATCAAGTACAGTCTGATCTTCTATATCCTTTTCCACTAACATAACTCGACTACGTAGGTAGAGACAAAATTGAAAGTCAAATTACTAGTGTAACAACCATGAATCATATGTTGTACGATTGCTATATGATATCACATTTGATCTCGAATATCCGAATATATCAAGTCAATCTGAAGTGAACAACATACCAATAATTAGTATAATCGTAATGTAATCCAAATCCAATAACAAAATCTATTCAAACGGTCAAAACCATGTCAATCTTTGGTTGCAAGTAGGTAATTTATGTGGGGTGTGAGACCAAGCTGTTCGGGCCTGTGCGCTTTGTGTGCAATCAATCAAAAAAGCTCCTTTGAGAAACATCAATCCAAATACACAGGACACGCGACAATATTCCAAATCATTACAGTACATACAGCCTTTGTAGAGTCGGATATTCTACTAAAGGAGCACTCGAATTATATATCGTTCATTGATCAAGCTCGCAGGGATGTCGCGCAGGCCAGTAAATCCTCAGGCTGAGCGTATTGCGCAGAACACCCAAACCATCAAGAGTCTGTTAAAACTCGAGTGCAATAAAGTCTGCTGCGACTGCAAAAGGAATAAGCGTAGGTTCCGTCGATATATTTGTAATCATTGTACGAGCCAGGAGCTGATAATTTCATTCTGATTTGATAGATCCAAGGTGGGCAAGCTGGAATTTGGGAGTGTTCATGTGTATAAGATGTTCAGGAATACATCGTGGAATGGGAACTCACATAAGTCGAGTAAAATCTGTTGATTTGGACTCCTGGACGGACGAACAAGTGCAAAGTGTATTGAAATGGGGAAACGGCAGGGCAAATAAATATTGGGAAGCAAAGCTGGCTCCAGGCCACGTACCATCCGAAGCCAAAATCGAGAACTTTATCAGAACGAAATATGATTCGAAGAGATGGGTAATGGATGGAACAATGCCGGATCCTTCAACCCTGGATGACGATGGAGATGATGATATACCTCTAGGACTTGTCAAAGAGAAACACATCCTCGAGAGATCGACATCACAAAGGACAGCCTCATCTAGTCAAGCTCCTACCCCGATCAGGGCACCCCCACAACAGGATCTCTTTGGTGATGATATTGGACCACCTCCAAGGGCGAGTACTGCCGGTTTGGTACCTGTGAGACCTCCACCAAAATCAGAGCCCGCTCCCCCAAAACAAACGAAACCGGCAGATTCCCTCTTGGGTCTGGACTTTTTCGGAACCGAGGCTGCTCCTCCCAGTCGACCATCGAGTACAGCACCCGCCCCAGGCATGCAATCAAGGCCTGATTTGAAGCAATCGATTCTATCGCTTTATGCATCCGCCCCTCGTCCTCAGGTACAACAACAGACATCCCAAATCTCACATGCATCATCTGGATCTTTTGGTGGTATGCAATCCGCACCGCAGCAATCACCACAACGTTCCACATTCGGAGGTATGAACGATGCGTTTAGTAGTTTGAACTTTTCCAATACTACATCTCCGGCAGCTCATTCGAAGCCCTCAGCCTTCTCTAACTTAGGCGACCTCTCCAGCCACCGATCAACACCTTCCGCAGGTCACGTTGCCTCCCCACCACTCAGTGGCGGCGGATTTTTTGACTCGAAACCAAAAGCTGCTCCTGCACCTTCACAAGTATCCCGCGCATTTAGCTCTTCAAGTGGCTTCGGAGCCTTTGACTCGGCGCCAGGACAATCTTTAGCCCCACAGTCTACAAATGCAAGTTCTGCATTAGGAGATCTCTTCGACTTTTCCACACCTGTACAAAATGTTGCACCGCCCAAGCAAACAATCGCTTCGCCACCCATTCAATCTTCCGTCTTCAACCTTTCAAACCCAAACGCAACAGCACAGAAATCTCCACCAGCAGCACCTGCTATGAGTAGCGCCTGGGGTAGTACCGACGCCTGGGGTTCAAATAATGCTTGGGGTAGCTCTGCCAAAACCAGTCCCTCACTCCCGAAAGTCGCACCACCGCCCCAAACTAACGCTGGGGATTATGGAGGTTGGGGGGGGTTGTCAAACCAAAGTATAGTACCGGGCACTGGAGGTAGTTTCAATACAATTGCTAGCGCTCCTAAGGTATCAGCAGATGATGACTTTGGAGGTTGGAGTAGTGCGGCTCCTGCGTCTGCTACACAAGCGACTTCTGGGGCTGTGAAACCTGCTGGGGGTTTCTCGTCGGGTGGTGGTGAGGATTTATTCTCGAATGTCTGGGAGTAAGGATATTACAGGGATATATTATAGTAAGGCTCTGGATTAGGGGAGACGAGTATGAGAAGTTGGGATGGTATATGGATCTGGGTGGATCTGGGTGGATGGATGAAAAATGACTTGAACATAGATATCCTACAAATGACACATAATTTCAGAGCGCACTTATTTAAAGTTATTGTTTCTATACAAGTCTCGCGTATACACGTGTGCCACCCAAAGCAATAATCAATGTGCTACAAAATATCCCCCTTGTCCCAATCCATTCATTCTTCAAGTATATGCAACCCACAACGCCCATCACAATGCCAGAATCGCAGTGGTCATATCTGCCAGTGTCCTGTCCGTACATATAATACAGTCCTTTGCCCTTGTTCTCTGCCTCTGTCCCTTCCCCTTCCTCTTCCTCTTTCTTTCCATTCATTTCCACAAATATTCTTGGACACGTAATGTAACAACCAGGCTACATTTCCATATTCGTGATGTGGTCCATGAATCCAGATATTCACATTGTCCCTGCCCTCTCGCCTCCCCCCAAACTTTCCCTTGCCCCTATATAAAATCTCCAACCCCTCATCTCATCTAAATAAACAATCCCCAGATAAACCATAAAACCAGTACACATCCAATGATCATCCCGCTCAGTTTCAATATGGCGACTTTATTTCCAGAGGAGGCCATGCGACCTAGGCGTGATGCGGATCCTTTGAGGGAGGAGGACATGCTGGAGAAGGTGTCGGACTTTGGAGAGCTTATGTTAGTGTTGGTTCATTGCCGGCGGATGGGAGGGGATGGGGGAGGGATATACGGACGGTATTATCAATAACATCCTGCGCTCTAGCATTATCATATATATCCACCGTGACACCTCTCAGCGCAGAAACTTTTGCGGATAATTCGGTAAGGCGAGAGTTATTTTGTCGTTCGCGCTCGTATGCGTCTGACATCTTGGTGATATGCCGAGACTTGTGATGTCTGTGTTTCGAGATTTGGGAGTTAAGGTGGATGGTGGATGGATGGATGGGATCTCTTTGTCTGCAAGACTCAATTCCCCGATAGGTTATTCGCAGTTTGATGATAGAATGTGATTATTCCCTGTACGACGATTGACTTATTTGTACCGTTTATCTGCGTCAATCCATGTATTTTGTGATGTCCTGGGTAGTTCTGGTCGCAGCCATGTTCATTCACAGTAAAGGTCCGAGGCTGAGGCTGAATGAGCACAGCCACAATTCAATTTTTGTTCCACTCCGACAGCTGATCAGCCATTAGCCCAATAACGAATGTTATTGCGCAAGCTTTGAATTCCACGACATCAACGGGCTCTAATCTGATTGTCCTTGTCCGAATACAAATATTGAAGCTTAGAATCTTGATCAGACTTCTCGGAACTTTTTACATTCGATTTTTGAGGATCTACAAGATAGAAATACATACCTACTCGTATAGTATCTAGATTAACATAAAGTTTGGATCGAAAAACATAGCTATCACAATAGGATAAGGCGATAGTAAAACCCCACACTTTATCATCGAAACATCCATCCTACAGTGTTTCCGAGTTCGCAGATACATATCTACCTAGGTAGATAAACCGACAGAATAGCTTCGGCGAAAGCTCATCACAGCTCATCACAACTACGCATACGAAGTCTTTTCTCTCGCATAATCCTTCAAGATGCCTTTAGGAATCAACAATCCGCTTCCTTCGTCTATGGCGTGTAAGTCATTACATTCTATTGCCTTCCTGATATGAGATCATTCGATTACCAAAAGAACAATTGAAGCTGACATTTACCCTTTTCCAGCGGAATGCAAAAAATGCGGAAAGATCCTGACTTCCTTCGTCGATCCACGACAATCTTTTGGCCCAGATAAGATTATTCCACCACATGTTCTCGCGCAAGCTAAGGTTCGTCCTCCTTTCGCTATATCCTTCCCAAGTCCCCAGCCCCCAGACATCCGAACCTCTCACTAACATTCTTTTCAAAAACTAGGGTCTCGCGATCGTTACTGTCCTCAAAGCCGGATTCCTCGGTTCCGGTCGTTACGGCAATGGTGTTGTAGTGGCTCGTCTCTCTGATGGTTCATGGTCGGCTCCCTCAGCAATCGGAATCGGCGGCGGCGGATTTGGAGGACAAATTGGTTTTGAACTTACGGATTTCGTCTTCATTCTTAATGATGCCGCAGCCGTGCGCAGTTTCTCTCAAGCTGGTTCGCTCACTCTAGGTGGAAATGTTAGTATAGCAGCTGGACCAATAGGACGAAATGCCGAGGCGGCCGGAGCTGCCAGTCTGAAGGGTGTAGCTGGTATTTTCAGTTATAGCAAGACGAAGGGACTTTTCGCCGGTGTCAGTATCGAAGGAAGTGCAATTATCGAGCGAAGGGATGCAAATGAGAAATTATACGGAAGGAGATTCACGGCTGCGGAGTTACTAGGAGGAGCGGTTCGGGCACCGCCAGCAGCACAACCTCTTATGACTGTGTTAAATTCCAGAATTTTCGCGGGCCAAAGTCTTGATAGTGGGACTTATAATGATGCACCTGTTTATGACGAACAACACGATGATGTGGTATGGGAAGGTAGAAGAGGAAGTGCATATGGAGAGGGTACACGAAGAGATCGAGGCGCAAGTGTAGGAAACGATAGTGATTATGTGGATAACGTTCGTCCCAAACGAGCAAATACTTGGGCCGATGATATTTACGACAGACCTCCTACCAATGCAAGCAGAGCAAGGTCTGGAAGCGCATTTGATGACGATTATGTGTACACGGATTCTCGTACGCCCTCGAGTCAATTTGGTACGAGTGGGAGTGGGAAAGTAGGTCCCGGTAGACCAGCGGCTCCGAAACCAAAGTTTCAACCAAAGATGGCTGGTTTGAGGGGTAATGAGGCGGTTGCGCAGTTCACTTTTGATGCGGATCAACCGGGAGATTTAGGATTCAAAAAGGGTGATGTTATAACGGTGACTAAGAAGACAGAGAGTGATGAGGATTGGTGGTATGTATACGTTTTGTCGTATCATTTTTTGAGGATAATGGGGTAAACTATGGGTAGCCGATGCTAATCTACTGCGCGAATAGGACTGGTACTATCAACGGACGATCGGGCATCTTTCCTTCGAATTATGTTAAAATGAGAGAGTAAAGTCTATTCACTAAAGATGAATATCATCCCCTATTCTACCGCGCTCGCCAATACCTTCTCGCCCTTCTCAACAAGAAAAATATTCTTGACTCGTTTATGCATAACCTCCTTTTCATATTCCGCATACAGGAGTTTTGGGAGTTCTTAGTTTTTCCGGGCTTTCCCATACTCAACTCTTCTTTGTGTGTCTGTTATGCTAGCGACTCGATTTATATTTTCTTACTTTTTGGCTTCTTTATCTCCTATCTTTCTAGTCGTTTAGGAAGCATATGGTTGTGCATAGAGCTTGGGCTTGGGCTTTTGGATGCGATGCGAGATCGAGATAAGAATCAGAGGATGAAATTCTTCAGTACATAGTACAGTGACGGGTGAGGTGGTTTTAGGAAGGGAAATTGGAATGTGGATACAGGAATTGAGTGAAGAATATGGGTTGGGATTCTGGGAAAGAGTTTTTTTTTGGATGAAATAACTAGGTTGGCTTAGGTTCGCTTGGCGAATTATAAATAAATAAAAGTGGATATTATATCGTCTATTTTGTTGGTTTATGATTTGATATTTGATGTTTGAGATAACG